TTATTTAATACTATGCCATACCCTTAATGTACTTGTTTTCTTACAATTAATTGTTTCCCTTTTCTGTGTCCTATCACAGAAAAAAATGATTATGCTTGTTTAGGTTTGTAGCTATTGTTGGATGTTTATAAATGTTTTTTTCTAAGTCTTAAGTATACATGTTTCATCTTGCATTCCAATTTGAAACTCAAAGTAACTTTATCAGCAGCGTATAAATAACAGATAGCAATATCAAGAACAGTACAGTGCTACACACTTGTTAGAGAGAGGCAGTCACAGTTCCTTTCCTTTATTATTTAACTGATGCAGAAGCACTTTGATGAAGAAAAACAAAACATTGAAAAAAATGTTTAATCCTATCAGACTGACTTTAAAGACAGTTGAGGGGCCTAACACTTAGCAGGATCAGGCCTTGACTTAGCTGCATTTTCACCTGTGAATCGTGCCTTTTCATTATATTGCTTTAGTGTACAGCTTGTGCTGAGCTCCATGCTGCCATAGCTAGGCTGTTACCAGTTACAGAGTCAGCTAGTTTAAACCTGGCTTATGAATATCTACCTTGCATTCCAGTGACTGCAGCATTTTACTGAGAAAAGTAAAGCTCTGATGGGGAGACAGAGTTTTCTTTCCTCCTGCCCTTTCATAAAACCACCTCATTTTAGTGTGACTCTTGGGTAGAAAGACAATTCAAAATCAGAAACTGAAGGTGCTGACAGTCCTCTACATTTTTAGTTTACTTTACCTACGGTCGGGGGAGATAACAAACAAACAAAATACAACCTTTTTTCCCTTAAATCCGGAGGGGAATTATTTTTGTATATTACCGTTTTAAATTTAATCTTAATAGTTCCAAACCAGTCTGTTCAGTTAGAAAAACTGAAATAGACTTGCTCCTTTTGAAGACTGATGTTATTAGATTTACATTTAAAAATTCCAGTTTAGACCCATGACATGGATATTATGCAGGGACAGAGCAAAGTGTCCATAATTGTTTATTTGAAAGACAGACAGAAGTGGTGGGGCTGCAAGGGAGCACAATGTTCTTTTTGGGATAACAATCCTCTCCTCCCTTCCCCATAACAGCTCATTTTGTCCTTTTTCAATATAGTAATTTCAGTGCTTGGAAGCTTATGGTATTTATTCTGAATAACAGTTTCATATTTCCAAGCACAGATTGTAACTGCCAGGAAAAATAAACTTGATTTTTCAGTTCATTCAGAGCCACTGTAGCTATGGTCATTTTATATTGAGGCAAAATTGAGATACAGGAAAATAAACCTTGCTTGGTAATTCCAGAGCAAACATCCTTAACTACCATTTTTATGAAGGTATATTTAAAAATAGTACATGTTTTGAACCATGACATAGGGACTCTGATAATTTTTGAGAACTTTCCTTTTAACTAAATGTTAATTCTTTCTGTTTTTCCTCTAGTCAGTCCAAAGGATTGCTTGGTTGCTTTCTTCATTTTCAGTATCTGTATATTACAATCTTTGTTACAGCTGAAACAAAGACAAGAAGCGCTCACCAGCTTGATTTCCATGGATGCCTTGGCTTTCCTTGTCTCATGTCTGCAGACCCTGGCCGCATGAACATACTCTTCTCTGGATCCTGATCCATTTTTCCATTTCACGTATACTTCTTTTTTCTTTTTGAGAAGTTCCCTAATGTCTCTGTTGAGGCAGGTGGGTCTCTTTGCCCCTCTCACTCTCTTTGATCGCATGGGGATGGCCTCTTTTTGAACAGTAAGAATAGCCTCCTTGAGGAAGTGCCATCCTTCATGAGTTCCCAAGTCGTCCAGTCACTGGTTGCAAAGGGCCTTTCCAACTAGACTTCTGAGTTTACCAAAGTGTGCCCATCTGAAGTCTAGGACTTTTGTTCTGCCAGTGGAGTTCCCAGCCTTTCAGTGGATGGTGAATCTGATCAGACTGTGATCTCTGTCACCCAGAGCACCTCCAATCTTCAGGTCACTTACCATGTCTTCACCTTTGGCCAGCACCAAGTCCAGAGTGGCTTTACTCCTAATCGGCTCCTCCACAGCCTGTGTCAAGAACAGGTCTGTAGTTGCCAAGAAGTTGGTTGATCTGCTGGAGCTAGCTGAATGATCTTCCCAACAGATGCTGGAGTACTTGAAGTCACCCATAACAATCAAGTCTTTAGTACTTGCTGCTTTGGCCAGTTCTATCTTTAACAAATCCCTTCTAGTCCTTCTTTCTATGATTCTGTGATTCATGTTCTGATATATTGAATGCCCTACCCGTCTTTGCTACTACTCTTCCATCTTTCTTCTGCCCTATCTCTAAGCTCATTGAATACAATATCTTCATGTGTTGCTTGGCATTTCTCTTCTGTCACAGATTCATAGATTCATAGGTGCTAGGGTCGGAAGGGACCTCAACAGATTGAGTCCAACCCCAAAATGCAGATATTCTCCAGTATGCTGTAGATATGCTTGAGTCAGGCTTGCCATCTCTGCTCAGTTGAAACTGCTCTCATCAAGTCCTTCTAGGGTATGTCTGCATTGTTGTGGCAACATACTCCAACTGGGCTGTTCCTGAGGATGCCCTACCTACCCATGCTGTTCATAACTTTCAACCCCAGAAATGCACTGATGAGTTTGTTTCAGGACCATTCTCATCAGCCAGTCTCAAGAGACTGAGATTAAGGTTTTGAGGGCAGTAGTAGTCGGATGCCATGGTATAATTCTGGGTTTGGAACATGCAAGTAGGAATGAGTAGATTGAGTGTGCTTGGGAACTTTCTAGCTAAGGTACACTGTCACTGTGGTATGAACTTACCCTTAGTGACCTCTCTTTAACTAAATATCAAGACCTCTACTCCTTTCTCAGCCTCCTTGACCTTTCTGCTGCTCTAGACACATTAGATCACATCCTTTTTGAAGTCTTGTCCTCTCTTGTTTATCATCCTGTTTGGTTGGTTGGTCACTCTTTGCTCTTCTCACTTTCTGTTAGTGTCTACATGCCTCTATTTGAGACCCATTTTTCTTGTCTCTCCACATTCTTTGTGTGGTCTTATCCATTGTAATGGTTTCAAATACCATCTGTGCCCTGATGATCTGCAAACAGATGTCTCTCTTCAGTCCTGCATCTCAGTTTTTTTCCCTGACGTAATCTCTTAGATATCTTGCCTTTTGACTTAATGTAACCTGAGCAAAACTGAACTTTCTCCAGGCCATCCATAGTACTCTTTCTTTTCTTATTCAAAATATTACACTGTTCTTGTTGCTCAGGCCTGCAGCTTGGGTGCTTTTTTGGATACTTATCTCTGACCCCCATATATTTGAGATCTTTCAGCTGCTTGCTTCACAGTATTTCTATGACTTGACCTTCCTGTCTGCCTATATACAACTGAGACTCTCCTTCAGGCCCCTACCATTTCCTAATCTGACTACTTTAATCACCTCCTATGTGACCTCCCTGACACTTATGTTATTTCCCTCCCATAGATTCAGAATGCACTGCAAAGATCATCTTCCTACTTGTTGTTGTCACCACTACTCGCCTCTTCTGGCTTGTGCAGCATCAATAAGATTGTCAAATAGTTGCAGAATGTTTATTGTTAGTTAAAATGGATGGGGTGAGTTTGCAGGACTGTGAGAGAAAAATGATTTTACTTTTAAACCAAGCAAATTTGGTCTTGAAGTCTTGGAGAGAGATCAGAATGGAAAGCACAAGGTTGATAATCTACTGACTAGTACGGCTGTGCGAAGCTTGGTCCCTGAGTCAATTCACCAGAGATTCAGTCCAATTCGGTGGCTGAATCTCCGAATCTGAATCGAATCAGGAGACCATGTAATCTCTCCGAATCGAATCAGAACCCTCTGAATCAATTCGGAGAGATTTGGAAAGATTTGACGATTCGGACATAGACACAGCTTTAAATGTTCTTTCTCTGTACCTCAAAGTACCAGGCAACAAGTGTCCCACGGGAGTGTGGGGAGCTCCCCAGTATGCTCAGCAGCAGACCTGGAAGTGGACCAAAAGCACTTCTGGTCCACTTCTGGGCTTGCCACTGAGCGTATGCTCCCCCCCCGCACTCCTGTAGGACATCCCATCTGCCCCAGCCTCGCAGCACTTATGAGCTGTGCCTGGTACCTTGAGGTATGTAGAAAAAACATTTAAAGCTGCGTCTATGGCCGAATCGCTGATTTTTCTGAATCAGCATCAAATCTGCAGATTTGGATTTGGGCCGAATCCAAAACGAATACGGCCTGTTTCACACACCTCTACTGACTAGTATGTATGTCTGACAGTCTTGGTGCATTTTACTGGGCCTGTTAGATTTTCACTAAGCTTTGCTGAAAGTGTTGCAGTGTCATAAATGTATAATTTTTCTCTCATTTTAAGAAATGGTGGCTCAATCAGTTGCCCATTACATGCTGAATATTTATGTTGATGAATTACTTCCCACCTGCCAAATCAGATGGAATTTCTGTGTCACGCGAAAGTCATGTATATTATATCTCACAATGACCACTACTTTAGTCATTGTGAAATGTGTACTCTGTTGGGGTATATCACTCCTTTCTTTTCCAGATGTTATTCTTGTCTAAGAGAATATTATTTATCAGGAAACAACAAACTTCAACATCTTTCTGCCTCACACAATCAGAAAGTCACAACAAGAAAATAACTTTGGAGATTGTAAAGGTTTATTTTCCTAATACCACCTATCCATAAAATCTGCATCAGAGGTTTGTCTTCCCTTTTTAGATGATATAATGGGAGTTATGTATGATACACTGAAAAGTCCGTAACACCTGGTAAGGTTCCCAAAACTAGATATATTATTATAGTTTGTGTTCTTGCTAATGTGGCAACTGTTTTCACTATTACTACATGGCAAAACAATAAATAATTTTCTGATCAGAAATGTTCCTTTACAATGAATAGTTTAAATGGGTCACATTTCAGAATGATTCAGTATTCTAATTTCTTTCAGTGAGTTTCCTAAATACAGTCTGATTATATCTTTTTTCAGATGTCCCGGGATGAAACAGTATGTAAATATTGTGGAGTCAGCTATCTGATCCTTCATGAATTTAAGCTGATGGAAGAAAAAGTAAAAGCCATGGAAAACAAGATGAAGTTTTATGAGGAAAGTGTAGAACGGGAGAAAAGGCTTCAAGCAGAATTGCAGTCTCTTAGCCAGGACTTTGAACTTTGCAGAACTGACAGTGAATCAAAAACAGAAAGGTTGGAACATGTTCATTATCCTTATTTTTTTATGTAACAACACTAATTAATTTAGTACCAAGGAAGTTTCAGCCAATACATTTTGCCCCTCCTACTAGGATCAGTCAATACCAGGTATAGTTTATATAGCATTGTAGTGTTTATTATTTAAATATTTAGTATCTGAATAGTTTAGAACCAAGTATTACATTTAAAATGAAAGAAAGGTTAGAAGTTATTTCAGAAATGGCTAAAGACAAATATTAGAAATAATCTAAATCAGATATTTTGGACTACCTGTCCTGTAATCAAATTCTCTGTAATGGTTCAAATCAAAATTTAGATCCTTAATGTAATATAATCAGAACATGTGCACACAACACCTTACAGTGCTAAAGGAATAACATAATCCCTGACATTAAAAGTTTAAAATCCAGTGCCTAAAACGAATTATTTAATTATTCAAACTGGTAAGAAAGTGGAACTCATTTTGAGATGGCTTTTGAAGTCTTTATTATATAGGAATTCACCTTGCAAATGCATAGTCATGTATAAAGTAAGTTATTTCCATGGTATCTCCAGTAGGATCTGTTAAAATTTTGCCTTCACAGGAACTGCAGTACCTATGGCAGTACTGTAAACATACAACTTTTATTTTATCTGGTTGATTTTGCTTAGAGACATATGCATAATCACAATAGAAATAAAAATGGAGAATTGGATTCATAGATGGAAATATTTGAAACTCTTGCTAATAATAAAAGTTCATTCCATCAGGCAATTATTATCCAAAACTGGAAAAAATAAAATAAAATAAAAGTTACTGACAGTTTGAACTCTCAGAGCTAAAACCTGGTTTTACAATAACATTTTCCTACCTTTTATGAGGATGGGTTTGTGTGGTTTTTTTTGTCCTTGTTGCTAGGTAAAAAATGGAAAATAAAAAACCCCAAATGAGCAACAAAGAAAATAAGGAAACATGGCTATACAAATATTTCTGTCATATGCAATGTTTGTTCCTTGTTGTATATATGCCTGTTGTCAGTCAATACTGCACAACTTCCCAGTGAGAGAATGATTTGGAATAGCTTTAAACTGATGCTCTAGGGCAGTGCCCAAGAAATGCAAATGCTTCCTTTATCAGATAAATCTGCTTTATGTTTCTTCCTATTTATCAGCAAATATTACTTTAAGCATAAATTTAGAAGCCCTAGTTATACAATGAACAGTCCTTTTCCTAGGCTAAGAGCATAGGTTTGTTCTTGTATCTCACAGTTGATCTTAGGAAGACAAGAGAAACCCAAATATAGAAGCTATTTAAAAGCCTTTTTCCTATTCTTTTAAACTTTTCCTCATTACTTCCATTCTTTGGGTACGTGTACAAGTCAATATGATGTAAAGGATAGCTTTAAACAAGCTAGCTCTTGAACCACTAACAGTTGCAGCAATATGGACATCAGCATGGGCTGCAATCCCACGTGGCAATCTCAGTTTAAGCTCAGAGGCTAGGGACAGACATCGCACATAAACCGGTTTAAGTGATCAAAAACTGGTTTAAACCTGTAACAGAACAGATGTTCAGTGCACATAAACCAGTTAAAAAATGGCTGACACTGGTTTGAGATAAACCTGTTTGAATGTAGTATCAGACTTACCCATTTGGCTCAAACCAGTTTATGCAATGTCTGTCCCAGACCCCTTGCTGGTTTAAGTTAAATCAGACCTCCCCAGCAGCCCGGCATGTTCTCTGGGCTGGGTGGGGCTCTCTGATCCACAGCAGGGCTGGCCCCTCCCCTCTGCTCCCTGGCTGCTGCTCCAGCAGTCTCTGCAGGCATCTGTTTGGCTTCTGCCTTCCCCCCTCCCCTCCCCACTCTCTGCTAAGCAGGCATTCCCTACTCCCTCACAGACACCTCTCAGCATTAGCTGGCAGACCACATGCTGGCTACCTCTCAGCTGTGGCACACAAGGTAGAATCAACAGATAGCTGGTAATGTCCCCGTGTTGTTTTCTTAATGGGTTGATAAACAATGAGTCAGGGGTGATAAACATTCGCTGCTGGGCTGCTCATGAGGGGGGAACCCTCCCTAATCACAGTCTGCTGCTGGGGTCTGGCCACCCCCCTACCCTGGCTTCTAGCCTGAGCCACTGCAGGCATGTGCCTGCATTTCTGGAATGAAAAGGGAATGTCTATCCACCTCCAAATCGGTTCAAGCTTTGCAGGTTAGACTAACTTGCAAAGATTGAATCAATTCAGGCTCAGGCTTTTTGAATGTCTATCCCTAGCTATCAGCTCCAACCTATTTTGGGTATGACTATATGAGCTGCAATTATAACTTTGACTAGGCTGGGTTTGCCTGTCCCTTTTCCACCTTTCACCTACACAAGTATTTCATCCGTAAGTCCCTAAGTATACACCTGATAGTTCTCATTGGTGATTATTTAATAACCAAGTAAAAGATTGTTTCTTGTTATGCTCAGTACCACATTGTGGATGTCTTTCTTTCTTTCTTTAGGGTTTTCACACACCAACATTTATTTTCTGTATTTCATCTTCTTTTGCTTATATGTCTTTACCTTATATCATAGTGCTTTAGCAAACTTCATCCGAACTAATTGTCCATCCAAACTACTTGTCTGTTGCCTTTACTCTGATCTATAAAAGAAATTCAGGATTGTGAGCTCTTTAAGCTCGAAGTTTTGAGGAACTGGTTTCCATTATTTTCCCTCTCTTTTCTGCTTTTTTATCCAGATTTCTCCTGTATCTTCTGGACTGTTCCCTGCATCCTCATTTTCTCTTCCCTTACTTTGAATTTACTTTTATTTTCCTTTAGTAGGTTTATATTATAACATGACTAAGTGGTACTGTTCAAGTTAGATCAATAACATAATTATTATTATAGTGTATTTAGTTAGCTACAATGTATTGTTTGTAAAAAGCAAAAGTATTTCAGATTTCTCTGGAACTCAAGCCTACTGTTCTGTTACTGGTCCAACTGGCCAGTAATTGGTGTAAAATAAGCAGCTATATTAAAGGCTTCCTTGCAGTGTTTCACTAATTTATATGGTCATTATTATGGAGAGACTGTCCTTAGTGATGATACAGTAATTCAAAGACTTTGTCTAACCAGTCATCATTCTAATGCTAAATACTTTTTGTGACAGTTTTTATGTCATGGACTCATGTTCAGTAGAGACTGAATTTAAATTGCTAACTCTTAACACACTGGGCAGTAAGGAGCCCTCTACTAGTAATAACTTTTAGTCAAGACTGGTTTAGAATGCATTGGAAATGCCAGAGGAGAATCATTCTGCATTAGATTAATGGCCTGCCAACAGGTGAAGCACTCTAATCCATTAACAATTTTGTGAGCCACTCAAGCAAAGTAACAATTAAATATTGACTATGACACTGGAGGGAACATCAATTAGCAGTTGTTGTTAATAGCCCATTAACTCTAAAATTCTAGAGTTTAGACATCAGTAGCATAACCTGTCTGTGTAGTCCATTTTGAAGTTACAGAATTTTATCTATCTATCTATCTATCTATCTATCTATCTATCTATCGTCTCATAAATCTACTCTGTTTGGGCCCTTTGACATCTGATAGATAGATAGATAGATAGATAGATAGATAGATAGATATAAAATTTACTCTGGGCCCTGAGTTTGGAGTGAAGTAAAAAATAGATATTTCTTGTGGGGGTTTTTGGTTCAGTAGACCTTTTTCTGAAGAGTGCATTTGCTTCTAATTGCTTTTACAGCTCTGGGCACCAAGTACTTTATGCATAAAGGCAGCATTCAGTGTATTGGCAGATGATGCAATCGCAGAAACAGCCCTTGCTTCTGGCTTAGAATATTTTCTAGAGGTGGACTAAATTTTTCATTTAACAGAACTTTTGTAGCCAGGGTTGAACAGTTAATAAAAATTAGACCATGGCAATTTTTTTTCCTGGAGGCCTGAAGTATAGGTTTGATGCAAAGCCCACTGAATCGAAGGGAATGTAACCATTGTTTTCAATAGGCTACCAACCAGGCCTTATTTGAGTAATACAAATAAATACGCTCTTGGGCCCTGTTAAGTACCCTTTCTGAGTTTCTCTGTTTTGTTTTTTTGTTACCTTGCTTTTCTGTTATTATGCAAGAGGAATGGTGTTATGTGGGTGATATCTTTTACTGGACCAACTGCATGGTTGGGGTAGATTTAGGTAGCTTTTGGGTACCCCAGTACTCTGTCAGGTCTCTGGGAAAGAAATTACTTGTGTCAGTAGTTACTGTTACTAGTGTTATTTGCCTAGCAAATTATAACATGCATGCATCATTCCGTGCACTGCCGTGATCCTGGTTTTGGCATGGCAGACATGAGGCTTGTAATTACTTTTTTCAGTCTCCAGGATTCCGTCACTGGTTGAAACTGCCTTTTCATTTGTGGGTGATGAAGAAACTGGATCTCTCGCTCTCAGGTGTAGGACCCCATGCCTTTTTTCTTTATTTTACTTTTAGACTCCTGTTAGACTCCTGTTTGCTCTGCCTTCAAAGATCAACTACCTGCTCTCTGAAGTCTTGTCTACATGGGAGCAATTGACCAGCATAGTTATCTGACACAGCTATTCTGGAGTAGCCATTCCAGTACTATTTAGCTATTTAAGAACAACTCTCTGATGTAGACGCCATTCCAATATTAGCTTGGAGTAAATGCTCTGCTTTCTGTGAGCTAAGTACTTATTCTAGAATAAAGTCACATTCACATGATCAATTTCCCCATGTCAAAGGGCCCAAACAGAGTAGATTTGTGAGACTATATTGTGCCAGTACTCTGCCATTTTTTCCTACTTGTCAATCTTTTTTTCTATGATCCATGCTTAATTTATTTTACACCAGTGGTTCAGGCACCCTTTGTAACATTTTTGTATTAGGCGGCACCCTGGTTGAGAACCACATTTGTGCTACCTTAGCTTACCCAAGGGTTCTCAGCCAGGTGCTGCTGCTGCCACTGGCACTGGGTGGAACTGCCCTACGCGCC